CCTGTACCAGACCGACCTTGTCAACATCACCACTATCTTTGATGTCACGCACCTACCTACGAGCGTTGCTAGTTACGGAAGCCGGGTAGACGCGCCCGTCTGGATCGAGTTCTAATACTATCATCCGTTCTTGGCCCCTCAAATACCGCTGTTAGGACCACCGAGCCATCTTTCTCCAAGTGGGAATCCCCCTTCACCATCTGCGCCATTTCATCTCCGGGCTGATTCGATCAGCGCCAGTCATCGAGAGATTTGAGGGGCTTCTCGGCAAAGCTTCTCTGAAGATCGGAGACATCCCTCCTGGAGATCTATGGAGAAAATGGGGGAAACTGAAACAGACCTGGTTGAAGACGTCAAGTGTCTCTCCATCCCCCGCGCTGAAGACGAAGACTACATCGCCAGGGCCAAGCCTGTTCCTGCGCTCCAGACTGGAGACAGAAACCGTAGACGCTTTACGATTCTTCTCAGCAATCCACTCAGGACGTGATTAAAGCGCTTAGCACTGGTCCATACTAGTGAGCTGGACAGCCCGAGTAGTTGGCGTTCTGCGCTCCAGGAAACTGTATTATGAATACTACATCTCTCTTGAATTATTATCAACCTAGCTGTGCTGACGTCAGAAAATTATATATCTATCCTTACACAACAACACTTACACAAACAGGTACTTCGTCCAAGTTGGACTGGATAAGGCCATCGAGGACCCCATCATCGCCTGGCAGAGAACTCTCGCGCGTTGGGAAGACTTACTGACTCTTGAATATAATTTTTACTATTTTAATATTTTAGAGATATATTTTGATTTTGTAATCATTGACTAAGAAGACAATAAATTATTTTTAATTGTCAAACACAGTTAAAAACAGACAGACAATATATATGTTTTCATTTTCAATATTTCTAATTTATTTTTGTATCTTCTTTAATCTCAGAGAACACACACACATAAATATATATGAAGCATAACTACTAATTATTCGTTGGAATATATTAATAACCATTTTTAAATAATAAAAACAGCCCTCTAATTTAAAATAGCATAACTATTGCTATAATCCTAAACAATTCATATTTTCTTTACCCCATATATTAATAATAGTTCTGAATCTTATAAATAAATAATAGCAATAAGAATG